CAGGAGTTTTGCCCCCTTTCATGTTCCTTATAGCATTAGTAATTTCTTCTACTGTTATATTAAGCTCTAGTTCATCCATATCGTTTTCTGGTAGTCTAGGAAAATGCAGCTGATCCAAAAAGATTTTTTGTTTTGATGAAAATGACTTTAAATGCTCAGTTTTGTATAGCTGTTTATAAAAAGTACAAAAAGAGTCATTATATGTTTAGGATCAGCTGTGAGCTGTCCTTCATCTGTAGTTATAGAGTTTATTGTTCTTTCAGCCTGAGTCTGTTTAATACGCCAAGCCAGTATTTTACTTGCTTTTTCACCCTGTTCATACTGTGACTGTTTCAGTCTTAGTAAACTTTTAGTAGCTTTATTTAATGACAAAATATTAAATTTAGCTCTGAGTTTATTTAACTCTACAATTCGAGCATTAGATTTGGATATAAATATCTCTTCCTCAATATCTTTTATCTTTTTCTCCAAATGAACCAGTTCCATCCCGGATGCTTTATGTTTAAAGCTTGTAAAACTGATCATTTGCCCTCTCAGGAAAGCTTTAAAGGCCTCCCATTTTATAGTCGCCGTAGCTTGAGTAGTGTTATAAGCAAAATAATAATCTATTTGCTTTCCAATGTATTCTAAAAATTCTGGATCCTTTAACCAGAAAGATTGCAGTTGCTTCTTCTGCATGTTGGAACACTGAGCTACTAGTTATTTCACCATTAGGTTTTAATACTTGTGCTTATCACACAAAATGCATGTGTGTATTTGTTATTAGTCAATACCAGATGACAATTAATCTGCACCAGTGTAAGAGCACCAGAGTGAACAAATTATCTCCAGAAGTATAGAACTAAATACACATGTGTAACATATTGTATCATTAAATAATCTCATCTGTAGGGCTGCCACAAACGATTATTTTGATAGTCGACTAATCAGATCATCATCCATTGGACGTAAAACGTACAGCTTATTGCACCAGCAGCATATGCTCTTATAGAACTATCATTAGCTTACAGCTTTAAGTGCTTACGTATGTGCCACCTAAAAATAAAGACAAGATGAATTAAATTTTAATGAAATCTGTAGCTTGTGGGGATAGGTTAATTGGAAAATCCAAATTGCCATTAGGTGTGAATGTGCGAGTGAATGTGAGCACGAATGGTTGTCTGTCCCTGTGTGTTGGCCCTGCGACAGACTGGCGACCTGTCCAGGGTGTACCCCGCCTCTCGCCCTATGACAGCTGGGATAGGCTCCAGCTCCCCCCGCGACCCTGAAAAGGATAAGCGGAAGCGAATGGATGGATGAAATCTGCAGATTGTTTCAGTGGAGTTTAATAAACTCTGCCGTCTGCTCCTTGCTATCTAAAATATAACAGGACACTGGAGTAAATCCTCGAGCATCTCACACTTCTGATAATCAGCTGTCTGCTTGACGTTTATTCAGCTGTGTAAAAACTTTAATCTCAGCCAAACCGATTTACTCAGGAACAAATAAAATACTGAAAAAAAGCCAAACAATAACATTTTTAAGTTATCTAAATGACTTATATATCATGTTTAACCTGAGTAGTGAAAGACGGTGGTGGGTTTGAAAACGATTTGCCGGGAGTCCGCTGTTCTCACGGCTCTAGCTATCGAGCTAGTGGGTAACAGACGTCTCCGAAAAAGTCGGAGCGCTTTTGAAAATATGTGGTGTCTTGATAAACTGAGCAGATATTTGAGGTTTACACAGCTACATTCTGGCCTGAAAATATGTTAAACGTTTATTTTGTGACCCAGAAAGAATAATAAGAGTAATATTAAAACTAACTAGCTACCGCCATTGTTGGAAACTAAACTGGGCCGCGCTATGAATTCTGGGACTGTCACCCGATCGGTACCGGAAACCCGATCGTACCCCGCATGCGCAAATCTTACGTCACTTCCTCTCTTTGCCAACATTGCGACATTCAATATATTTGAATGATACGGTTAGCGCCCAGTTAGCTCCTAGCATTTCTCAACAGCTCTGCCTCCTTTTCGACTGCCCGGGACATTTAAACAATGGATAATCCGTATACAAAGAAATTCATGCTTTTCTCCTCAACAGAGAGCGTCCCCCGATTGAACAACAGCGCCGTAAAATAAGAAGAATGGCGCCTAATTACAGAGTTAATAATGCAGACTTTGTAATATCTCACGTGTAGATTCATCAGCCAGATGAAGTGTTTACTGACAATTGACAGTGATAGCGCACATCATCATCACTATTCCAACAATCCTCTCCTCACAGACAAGCATAAACACACTCGACTATCGCTAAATCAGATTTAACACACGTTTGTAATGACGATAATTCAGTTTATAATAGGGTTTATTCGCTCGGTCAGCAGGTGGCGGTATCCTCGTACACTGGGGAGTAAACTGCCATTAAACGAACAGAAGAAGAAGAAAACATCTGCACATGCGCGGTACGGATCGGGTAGACCCGATTTGTACGGTCAGACTTTACACATGCGCAGTAAGGATCGGAGAGTCCTGATCCGTATTTCGTATTTCTTTCGTTTTTGTCTACATTGTACTGAAATGCTTCATTATTGCAAACATTTTAAGATATACTTGTTATTCTTAACATCTTTTTTTTTTTTCTTAAATTTTATTTTTGCATTTAAATTAAACATAACATGCTTATACAAATCAACCAAGAACAATTACTGTTTTTAACATTTGTGAACTTATAAGCATGAAAAGAAAAAAAAAGAGAAAAAAAAAAAAAAAAAAAAAAACAAAAAACAAAACAAATAAAATAATTCACGCGGAGTGTGAGGCATGAATTATGATCAGTTTTTTTTAAGAATTCTAGAAATGGTTGCCAAATCATACAAAAACTCGCCAGTTTCCCCTCTCTATCAAATCTTATCTGCTCCACCCTGGCCACAGACACCATCTCATTAAGCCACCTGTTAAAACACGGGGCCGAAGAAGACCGCCACTGTAAAAGAATGTTTCTTTGCAGGCAGCATACCCATTGTAATTATCTGTTTTTGTGAAAAGGAAAAAGATTCGACTGATGCAAATGATCCAAGTATAGCCAATGTACCATCACGTGGTACTTTTTTCCTAAATTGGTTTGAAAACCACATAAAAATCCGGCTCCAAAAAGCATTCAAAACCGGGCAATGCCAAAATAAATGTGCAATTCTTAACATCTTAACAGATACTCTGACCCATAACTATCGTAAAACGCTACCACCGGAAGTAGAAACCTTTCGCGCATGCGGGGTACCGATCGGGTTTCCGGTACGGATCGGGTAGTGACAGGGACACTGCTTCTTCTTCTTCAGGGTTTAACGGCAGCTGGCATCCTTGTACATGCAGTGCTGCCATCTTCTGTTTCAGTCCGTTATTACACTCTTAAATCCTGCTACTTATTCCTGCGTCTTTTGGGATCTTACAAAGCTTCAAACGACGCGTCGACTATTAAATTTGTCGTCGACAATTTTAATAGTCGTGACTAGTGACTAATCGTGGCAGCCCTACTCGTCTGTTACTGTTACTTTACTGGAGCAACTGTAACCCACATAATTTCCTTAGGTATTAATAAAGTATGCTGATATGGACACCCGACAGCTCTTAGTTTGTCTTGGGTTCTTCAGTAGCTTGTTCCTCAGCCCGACCTGTCTCTGTGCCTGCTATAGGATCCCAGGTCCTGCTCAGAGCTACGTTGTGCCTTCCAGCAAAGCCTGGTCTACTGGCAGCATCCCTCCATACCCTGGCTGTCTCTGTTCCCTAGGATCAACGCTGAAAGGAGCTTCTTTGGCAAGAGCGCCCCCTGGGCTCATGATGCAACGATACAGCAGAGTCTCATGACAGAATGGTGAGGCTGATAGGGTGACAAGGTTTTACTGCAATGATTTCATTTTTCTCTCTGTCCTGATTTTAAATGAATCAAGATGCGATTGAATCACAGACTTTCAGCTTTAACTCGACGGATTTTAATAAAAATATTGTTTGTTTAGGAATTACAGCCATTTTTATGTATAACTGACTGACAGGTGGTTTCACTGATATGTCCTATTGATAAATGAATCATTAAAAAAAACTGAACTTGATTCTAAGATTTGAGATCTTTACACTGGAGGTCCGAAGAGATGTAGATGAAAGAGGTCATTGTTAGGCTGAGTAGCCCCAATAAATCTGTCAGAGAGAGAAGGAAGTTACGACCTCCTTAGACTGTATTGTAGTATCAGGGACCGTTTTTTCCGCCGAGTTATCAGCTCTGTCACAGTTAGCTAACACAAACCCAGTCTGTTAGCAGCAACCAGCTAACCATCGGACCCAGTGACATCACGCTCTGTACTAGCGCTAAACATGTTTAAACACTTCTTTCCTGAATCCAGCTTCACAGGTGGGGTTAAATCTCACACAGTAGGGTTGCACATTAAATGAGCCTTTGTACAGTGAAATGTTTCATGGCCAAGTAAGAGCAGCCACACAATGAAGTAGCATTTTTAGGTGGAGCTCCATGGTGATGCTCTGCAAAAAGACTTCTGACATTGTTGTATCTCCTGGACCAGGTGACGTGTGCGTGTGTTCAGCTGTGAGTTTGAATGTAACTTTACTGTAGCTGTGACAAACAGGTCAGGCGTAGTTATAAAGTGAAACAGGTGTTTTAACGCCAGCCTGTATCCAGTAAAGGTTTTAGTGGAGCTTCCAGGAACAGGTGCTGCCTTGTTGAGGTTTCTTTTTTGTAATTCAAAATACTCGATGCAGCCAGAGTCAAATGAATGCTGTGTGTACTGTGAAACTGCTGAACACTGGCTGCTGTGTTCTGTATACTGTACATGTATTCAGTGGCATTATTCCCACACTCCTTCCTTTGTCCATGTTTGTTGCTCAGGTCCGTCAGTCTGTCATCTCTCTACAGTCTGTTAAAGGCCAGACTGTGTCCGTACTTCTACCTCTGTTCCTATCAGGTAGGTGTTAATATGCAATCTGAACTGTGCTCAGCAACACCGTCCTTCAGCTCATCTGTTTCATTGTCAGTTCACAGTGTTGTTCCGGGCAGCAGGTCTTGGAGGATCCAGCAGCATCACTGCTTTCATTTCCCCCACAACGAGGGGCCTCAGAGAGGCAATGAAGGCTGAAGGTGAGAGCTGAACTGTATCTTTGGTCTCAAAATTAATTTTCATTTGATACATTTACAGCCGTAAAAGGCTGATAAGGCATTGTCGTCAGCCTGCCGGGCAGGCAGCGTGGACAACCAACATTTTCTTTCCACTCGTCTGAAATGTGACATGTAGTGGCAGTAAAATAGTCCACAAACCTGACCGCTGTATGAAAAAGCTTTGCCTGTAGTTTATTCTTTAAGACATGACTTGTCAAATAAAAAAGTACAAGAAAAATTAGCTGTAGGAGTCAAACAATGTCAGACCTCGCGCCTGAGGTTAGGACTGAACAGAGGACATGACAGCTTCATCATTCGCTGCTCCTCACTGATCAGTTTACCCATATAGGTATAGAGTTCAGCCTTCCTCTGCTGGAGGAACAGAGGAGGTGCAGGGAGGCACAGAAGCAGACCATTCACCAAGAGGAGGAGCAGAAGGAACAAGAGGTCACGTAAGTGCTGCTCTTTCATTGTCTGAGCTCAGTAGGGCTGGGAGCTGTCAGGGTTCTGATTCTGATCACTGTTTTTAAAATATGTGTAAAATATCAGTTTGGACTCACTCAGCAGTTTCCACACAGCTTCATATCATTCTAGAATAGCTGACTTCTCATACAGCTAATAATAAATAATAATAATAATACTTCCTTTTTTAAAATGAAAAATCTTTGGGAAGTTCACATCTGGCGGAGCTGCCAGATGGGAAAGATTTTTAAAAAGACGATTGAAGAGACAAACACGATGTCTGAGCGGCCATGAGCCAATTTAATAGTCGATGCGTCATTTGAAGCTTTGTAGGATCCCGAAAAACGCAGGAATAAGTAGTAGGACTTAAGAGTGTATTAACGCCTGAAACAGAAGATGGCAGCACAGCATGTAAAAGGATTCCAGCTGCCGTTAAACCCCGAATAAGAAGCGGAAGAAGCAGCAGTCTCCGCTTACTGTGTCCAAATTCAGGGGCCACATCTTTTGACCCCTGAATTTGGAGAGCAGACGCATGTTGATGCAATAAGCTGTATGTTTTACATCCAACAGATGCATGATCCGATTAGTCGACCAATCAGATCATCATCCATTGAACATAAAACGTACAGCTTATTGCACCAGCAGCATCTGCTCTTATATAACTATCATTAGCTTACAGCTTTAAGTGTTTAAGGTGCTAACTAAAAATAAAGACAAGATGATAGTTTATTAAATTTTAATGAAAT